TGCTCGAGCTCGTGCGACAATGGGCCGAGCCGGCTCAGCTCGGTCCATGACACCACAAGTGTCGACCATTTTTAACCAAGATTGGTTTCATCTTGACTTTTGACATTTTTTTATTGGAAGATAAAAACAAGAAAAGTGGAAATCACGAATGTTTGCAGTCTAACTATTAATGTATAGCACATAGCAAATATAGAGGAATAAAGAAGCATTATTTTTCTTTTCTATCTTTACCTTACGAGCATCTTCTAAATGCCATCTATATGACAATGAAAGAAAACCAAGTTTATTTAGAACACCCAATGTGCTAATAATCTGAAGTAAAATTGAAATACAGTATAGTTAAAAATTGCATCCACTAAAGGCAAACATAAAAGTGAGTGCAAAATTCAATGCCCAAATTAGAGAGACTAAAACAAATACATAGCCAATCCACTAGTTATCCCTCGGGAAATATTCCAAATTAATACATTGAGTTAAGAGACCATATTGATATCTAGAAAGGCGCAAATATTGCTACGCTCACCTGCTTGTCCTTATCAGATAGAGTGGGTAGTTCAATACGCATTTGAGAAGCGTCCATGGTAAATAATGATCTGGAAAAGGTCGAGGAATTCTTTACCTACCACACAAATCAGAGTGAATTGTCCAAATAATCACTGAACTTTACGCCATGCTTCCAAGGGGTCATTGAACTTTAAAAATCACCAAATTATCACTGAACTCTGTAAAATGTTTCCATGAGGTCAGTGAACTTTAAAAATCACCTCATTCATTACTAAACATTGCAAAAGGTTTCTACGAGATCACTAAACTTTGTAAAATGTTTCCTAGAGGATCACTGAATTAGTGATCAATGGGAAACTTTTTACAAAGTTCAGTCGTGAATAAGGCAATTTTTAAAGTTTAGTGATCTCGTGAAAATCTTTTGCAAAGTTCAGTGATAACTTGAGTAATTTTGAAAGTTCAATGACCTCTTGAAAATATGACGTAAAGTTCAATGACTATTTGGGCAATTCACTCCACAAATCACATCATCACCTTTTACTTCATCTACCTGCCACACCAAATCACAAACTTCATTTAATGTGCCAAATTAAAATAAATTATCTCAGCTAGGTTATACAACCAATAGTTATGTATACATGCTTATTTTTTTTCTTCTATATGATCAAGTAAACAATCCGACATGGAAAGTAATAGAAAAGGGAGAAAATGTAAGACAAAAGTTTCGTGAACTCAAACTCATTGGAACAAAGAAATCAACACAACGAGAAATTAAATGAACTAAAAAGAATAATACAGAAAGAAATAAACAAATAAGTCAATCTTGTTGAATTCAAATTAGTACTCCGCTTCATTCCTCCTACCAAACATAAGTGATCTCGCTTCCAGCAAAGAGGTATTGACCTAAAAAAATGGTATCTCCCTTCATCACAGCCTTCAAAAGAGTTCAACTTAGTGTTGTATCTGATTAATCGCTATAATAAACATAGAGTGAATTCGTGCAAAACCTGAAATAAGTTGATAATCAACTTGCACTCGGTGCAGTTGGAAAATAAATAGTCACCTTATTCTTTTGTGTGTTTATACCAAAACCTTTAATTTAATTTTGGATTTATATTCATAATTACTACAAACATTCACATATAAGAACCTTCAAATTCTTCTTCTTCTTCTTGACATCATGGAAGCAACGAGATTCAAACACGACTTCATATTTTTAATGTTCTCAATTTTCCCAGCAACCAACAGTAAAGAATATGTATATAACAGCAGGAAGAAATCCACAAAGCCCGAAAATTTTGTTCCTCATTGAACGTAATTGTTATAATGAGAATCGTGGATTAGTAATTTTTTTT